ATGAGTTAAATGCAAAATTTCAATATAAACCATTACCTCTACCCTTACAAAAAAAAATGATTTCATCAAAACTAACCTAATGTCTCTGCTGCCTCAGCTCTGACGGTGAGGTTTTTGTCCAATTTACACATTCTGACCACTGTGGCAAGAACCTTAAAAAGCAATCACTCACTTGTATTGTGTTGACATCATATTTACCAATTATAAATGGAGGCAAAAATAATTCAACCCACTGAATTGCAGAAAGGAGTCAGAACTGCCATCACGCCTTCTTGATAGTACATACGTATTTCTTGTACATTTATTTGTGTTCAGTGTTTTAAAAACTCACGGTCATGTAGTTTATGCTCTGTATGTACAGTATAAATCATTGTACACCATGATCTATCAGAATGTTGGAAGCAGAGACATTTGAATTGAATCTAATCCCTTCAAGAGAGACACAAGAACTCCATAAGCTACACAATTTCAATAACAGACACCCTTTCCTTCCAAATCAACCAAGACTCTAAAAAATAACTTGAAAAGGAACAAGAAATATTGGATATTTTTCCAAGGCTACCCAAGAGAGACAAAACACTGTGACAGGTGCACATACAATGTACTGTAGGCAAGAAAACAAACATCCTTTCATCCCTCTCAATGAGAGTCCCCTCCCCTCCCTTCCTTCAAACAATATACTACAGGGCCCAGTTGTTTAAAGGCTGATTGGCGCTAACCCAGACTTAAATTTCATCCAGGTTTCTATATTTCTTTGTTCAAAAGCCATTTAGGAAGAATATTCCCTATTCTTTTAGACCATCCAATGACCAAATTGCAAGCAAAAAAGATTTGCATTGAATTTTCTTTTAAAGCTTTCCGACCTGAAATCAAATTTCACCCTAACCCTGGGTTATCTTAACCCAGCTTTGAACAACCCAGGCCAGGAATTGAAGTGAGAAGATAAGGCTGAAAACTGAAGTTAGGTGCAATGAGTAACAACATGACTGCAAGTAGGTCTATACACACCTTGATCAGTAGCGAATGATGTTCTGCTGCTGGTACTGCCCCTGCCCTGTGCATGTTCGTCAAACTGCAATGTACAGTGTACATTAATTTCTTAAATTAGTCAGAGAGACAGAAACTCAAATAATTCATTCAAACAGCATAACTGCACCATGTACGTACAGTTAAAGGATACAGTTAAGAACATATTGATAGAAAGACAGATTGAATTTCAAGGACCCAGAAAGGCAAAAGGGATTACATGGACTGATATGTTAACTGACAAGCAGACAAACAGATAAACAGCCAGAAAGAAAGATGGATTGGACCAGCAAAAAAAAAAAAGAATTTAGGAAAGGCACATATGCACGCAGTTTGGTAGACAGACAAGCAGGTGGGTAGAGAGATAGACAGATGGATGAAAAGATGGAAAGAGAGACTGGTGGACACAAAGAAACAAAGACCACATCAAAAACAGATAGAAGGAAGGAAGGAGTAAAAGACACTACAAACAGACAGTTGGAAGATCAGATTGATACCCACCACTTTGCAGCTCCAAGCTGAATCTCATCGGGTCTGTCTCTTGACAGCAGCTTAGTAAATATTTGAACCAGCTGCTCACCTTGATGTGTTGCTTTGGGTTTGCAAAAAATAGCAAAAAAATTGAATTAAGAACAAAAAATGTGTTATGCTTTTACACTCTTGCAGTACTGTACAGTGATGAAAGCTGTTTGTAGCTAAAGTTGAACCTGAAAGAATTTCTCCTTAATATATCATTAAAATATCGAGCAGACAAGTGATGAAAATAAAGAAAAATATCAATTAGGGAATTATGCATGTATGTATGTTGATCCAATATCAAATTCTCCAAACTAACATTACAAGAACTGTATGGCATACAGAAAGGAGAATTAGTAATGAGATCTCATGAGTTAAAGGCCAGTTAAGTGGCACCCTATTTTAAGCGGTTACCCTGTACTACAAAAAGCAGAAAGTTTCCCCTTAATCACTGTAATTTTCACCTCTATTAGGCAGCCACCTCTATTAAGTAGTCATGGTCACCCTTTATTAAGTTCCAACTGCCTATTTTTATTGTCTTCTGCTTGAATGGTCACTGAAAGAATGACTATTCAAGTAATTTTTAATCCTTGTTCCTCTCTCAAAATTAAAGTAGTATTTTGGAGAAAGATTCTGTACAATAATTGCTCAATTATGGCATAAAGCAGCATTGTTTACCACTTTTCATAAGACCTCTAACCTGTGGAACTCCTGTTAAGTGGCCAACCTGCATTAAGCAGTGGCCCTACCATTCCCTGTGGGTGACTGCTTAATACAGGTTTGACTGTAATACACCTTTAAATAGTACATAAAAAATTAGGTTGTTAATATCAATTTTCTGGTCATTACCTGACTTCATAGCAATTGACACAGCCCCATTTTGAAATGACATAGATGCATAGCACTGAAGTGCTGGCTGTTGTATCTTGGGAATATCACAGACCAAAAGTGGCAGTAAGGCTGTGACAGCTCCCATATTACATAACAAAGCCTGATGTGCTGGACCCTGAACATAAAATGTAATTGAATGTTAACAAGAGATGAAATGTCCTCCACAGAACATGTACCTGACAAAATGCAATTTTTACTTTCAATTAAGACTCAAGCTCCTAATTTACCTCTTTCCCAAGACATTTTTTTTAAGCAATTCTCTTCAGACAGGAAAATCTGAGACGAGTCAGGGAGAGGTTTGCCAGGGGTCTGGCATTTTTCATTTTGAGATATTTACTTGTGGTAAGTGTAGATTAAAAACATTTCAGCCAAGTTGTAAGTCAGAGTTTTGACTCAAACATGAAAGTAATGGACTTTGTTCATGATGAACATTCTCTCACATTATGATTGCAGAATGGGACAAAAACACTATGATAGGTGTTCACCTGGATACAAGCTCAGAGTCAACACTCTGCACAGGCCTCGTGCAGAGCATAAAGCAGGCCACAGCTACACTGTAAAGATTCCTGGAGTTGTATTTTTTGTTGTAATCAATTTAAAATTGTATATTATATTTAATCCTGTTTCACTTGTTTCTTTAAATAACTACTTTTCAGTTAATTTACAGCTTTAAGTGAAAAACATAGGAACAGCTCAAGAAATGTAAGGTGTATTTATTGGAAAGTAACAATCATAGAAAGTTAAACAGTATAATACTGTAACAATCTCTGTTTACCTGACAACATTTGGATAAGATTGCTGCAGCTCCCTCTGCATTAGACAAAGAACTAGACAACAGGTCGACAAGCTGTGGTACTATGCTTTGATCCTGAGAATTAAGTCAAATAATTATAAATAATTTTTGTAAGGTAACATTTAATGTGACATGCAATATAATCAAAACTACAAAACACAATCGAAAAACAAACATGAGTTGGGAGAATTTAGTTAGTTGGAGTAATTTTCACAATTTATACACTCACAACTGTAAGAGTTAGATCTTGGATGCACCACAGGAGCTCCACAAGTGAGTGTTTGCCTTAAAATTGTAAATTATTGCATCCTGCTGATAAAACATTCTTGCTAAAGTAAATTTAAGAGACCTCCACTCTTCCAACTTCATTAAGACCTCACTTATCAATTGGGCACTTCTTGCATGAACCACGGAAAAAAACTCCAGATTTCTTTCCTTTTCTTTTAACAATTTGTCTTTACTTTTCACACTTTTTGGGAGTCTTGAATCTCAGTTTGAGTTATTGATGAGATTAATACAGGAACCAGTTGCAGATGAAGAGTACACAATCCGAATAAAACTTTACACTTTTACATCTACACTACAAAACAGAAAAGATAGGGAGGCATATACTCTAAACAAACTAACCTCAATGACTGGTACACATGAAGATTCATAGACTGTCCTCAGTGATCTGACAGATGCTTCAACAACTCGAGAATCTGAATGACAAATTCCTGCCACAACAATAAACAGGCAAGGGCTTACTCATACATACACCCTATCTAGATAAGACTGCATTCTTGTAGAGATCATTTATTTGGTACGAGTACATTTTTTTTCAGTAAAATGTGTCCAGTATGACTCAGTACCATGGAGTCAGGCATTGGCTTTGCTTTTCATCCCAAGATCTGATTCTTAATTCTCCCCTCTAGCTACTAAACATTTTCTTGTAAATATTACGTAACAGTCAAGATAGCTAGATAAAGGCCATATTTACATTCTTTAATGAGTTTTTATGGGCCAAGACATTACAGGTCTAAAATTTAAACACCTCCAAAAAAATAGACGTAATGGAGCAAATATCCACACACATTTTGCAGTTCCTTGATTGCTGTTTAAAACTGTTGAAAATTTTTTTCTTGTAGGAAAAAAAAAATTCCCCCCACAAGCTACTTACAAAATAAACCAACCAGCTTTGAGAATTTTTTTCCCAGCTCAATTAAGGTGAGTAATCCTAAAAGGGCTGGATGGCTGTAACTGGCCAAAGGATTTAATTTAGCTTTACCTTACCCAGTTAGGAAATCATTTATGTATTTATCAATAAATTACATGTACTATAACCTTATATCTTTAAAAAGATGGTTAATGTTTCAACCAAGAATACTTGTTTCTGTTAATCTGATACATGTATTTGTCTGATTTGTTAACATTAGCTCATCACAGTGAAAGACAGTTTACTACATAAGAACCAATAATTATAACAACTTACCTTTTAAGAACACATCCAGAGATTTTGCATCTATAAGAGCTTGGACATTCTCAGCTGAACCTGTTAACCAAAAAAAAAATGAGAATAAAAGGAAAATCAAAGCAGTATAATCTAAAATACAATAAATACTGATTCTAGATTATACCCCAAACTCCCAAAGCTCTAATTGTATAGGGAATATAAATATCAATTTTAGAGTGGAAATTGTTGGTAAGCCCTACCTCTTGCCAGACTCCCTAACAGTACAACTGACTCCACAACAAAGTCAATCCCAGTATCATCTTGCATAAGTAGTTGAAGTATCTTTGGTATAATATCAAGTCTGATGAATGAGGATTTCTTTGCCTTATTACCAATGACAGCATTCTTTATATTACTGCAATGACAGAAAATAAATGATCCCAGGGCAATCAATGGGCATTGTATACAAGAGAATAGTGGCTCCTGTTGCTGAGGAGGAGGTTTAACCTGCTATATTTCAATCAATACTCTAAATTTACATGGAAAATATTTTCTTGTTATTGGTACATGTGCTTTAATATTCATTCTCCTACTGCAATATCTATTTATTAAGCCCATCAAGAAAGCCTCCACAATGGTTTCAAATATATTTTTGATTATCATTTTGATTGTGTGTGTCCACAGTTAAGATAGAAACAAATTAACATAGTTTTTTTACACACAGTTATAATTATCACATACTGTACATTACCCTGTGGCATAATTTAAAGCCTGGGATTTGGACTTACGTGGAGAAGAACTAAACTGGGAAGAATGGTTACAAAATGCACTTAAATCAAATGGTCTGTTAACTTGAAAAAATAAAAAGGTGCAGCTTGACTTTGAGAAGTTTTAAGTTATTTTTGTGACAGACCCACACAGACTTATCAGCCTTCACAATGTCATTTTGAATCTGTCCTTCACGGATTTCTAGATCATTCTGCATCTCTTGAGAGATAAGAGGTGATACAGCAGGTTGTGAAAATAGTTATATAATATGATGGGGCTGAACTAATTGAAAAGGGCTTCTTCAGTCAGCATTAAAGGCTACACAAAAGTTTACTAGAATTGGGAGTAGCTTTAAAAACTATAAGGATTCCAGGACTGAGGGGCAGTTTATTTGGGACCATGGGATCACAAGAGCATTTAGTGACTTCCCCATTAAATGTAAGATCGTGTCGCTAAAGCTTTAGTCTTTGTAACCTGTGATATATATAATTGTAACCACAACAGTATAGACACTGATGCAAGACTATGCAAGAACATAGATGTTTAAATCTAGAAACAATAAAAAGATAAAATTTTCGGGTGAAAATTCAGACAAATGCAAGAGATGTTTGCTACATGCTGTTCTAAAATATATATGAGTAAGCTTCTGTAGCTTAACGACGAGCTTGAGTTGTAGATTAATTGTGTGAGTAAATAGACAATTACGACTTCGCCGGAATTTGTTAACCGCACAGCAGAAATCACAAATAACACTCTGTTACTAAGAGAATATCTTCATGGAACTCCAGAAGGTAACATTTAAGCTTACATAACCCACAACAATTAATTTACGAGAGCATAAAAAGTCACTGATCTTACGTTACGGCTTGAAGTCTGTCATCGTAATCAGAGGAGGAAAGGTTATTTACAAAAACCTCGTCCGTGTCCGGCTCCTAGAAGAAACGCCTCACTGAGTAAAGTATTTGGGAAATATACTGCAAGTTCAAATATCAGTAGCCTTAGCTTACCGTAAATACCGGCATTTTCATGGTGAAAACGAATCAAATACATGTACCACAACTCTTTGCTACGTCAGCAGCTATAATCGAAGGCTCGCTAATAATAATGCGGTCTCCGTCGTGTAAAAAACCACCAAAAGTCCTTGCCCTCTCAAGAGCGCTGTAAAATCGGTGTCTGAACATTTAGCGTAATTTTCAACTGATAACCATTAAGGACCAGGGCCCCATTTCTCGAAGATCCCGGTAACTTAATGGCCCGAAGCAATGTTTTAAAGTTAAAATTTTAAGATTATAGAGGCAGGTTTTGGCACTCTAACAAGTCAATTTTTTTTTTAACTGATAGATATATTGCAGAGTTTTCAAACTTTTTAAACTCCCATTTTGAAAGAAAACAGAACAGCTTTATGGGCTTTGTGGGGTTGGGGGGAATCAGAAGTGACAGAACCAAATCCTCCTACCCAAGAGCTTAAGTTGACGAGAGGCAGGAAAGCAGATGAGAGGCAGGCCCCCAATGTTCGAAGATCAGATATCACTATCCACTGGATAAATCTCTACCCAATGGATAACACTATAAGTTTTACTATCACTTATCTACTGGATAGCGATTTAACCATTAGGTAACCTGGCCCAAGACATTTGGGTGCACAAAACTTAATTATTTTCTCCTAAGCTTTTTATCCCCACCACTTAACACAGGGCAGTTGCATCAGTATGACATGGTTTCACCCATGAGGCAAAATAATTGGGCCTAAAGTTTTCGACTTTTTACACCCAAACATTAGTGTCCATATTCTCCACACTGTTCACCATAAACACTTAATGATCAAGAGCTTTTTCAGTTGGCAATCATTTCCTTTATTCTCATGACCTTCATGTGTGATGCAGGGGTGATATTGTAAGGAGAAATTAGATGCTAGTCACTCTTAGGGGTCAGAGGGTTAAGGTAACAATGCCTCACTTTATGAAGATATCTAGATTGGAGGCCTCTTCAAAGATAGTTTTTAGGCTAGAATCTTAACAAACTCTCACAGTGCCTAGTTTCACCAACGATTATAAAGATGTGTCAAAAAAATGCTAGGGGAACGACCATCTGGCTCCAAGTCAACTCGCATCATATCCAAGGACAGTAACTTTAATCAAAACAAGTCTCTTAAAGATAACAAAAAAAAGCTATGCACTTGCAATGGAAATCATACAAGCCATGCTGATAAGTCCTTTTGCTGTCTGGATATTTAGTTTTTGCATGTGTTAGAGATTCATTGTCATTCATTGTCTTGAATTTGGCATGTCAAGGAAAAATTAAGTGCACCTGAACAAATATCAAACTTTTGTAAAACATCAGTTTTGCAGTGAAAGGAAACTTTAATGGCATGAAATCTTTGGTAGTATCAAATTACTCACTCAAGGGTATCAATAAAACAACCACAAAATTCTCCAAAATGAAAATTCCACTATGATTTGAGCCCCAAAGGATACATGATTTTTACTAAAAAAAAATTTCAGGTTAGCCAGACTAGAAAAATGTGCCTTTTGAAACCCATTCTTTAAGTATATTTCCCAAGAAAGCAAGCTAATTAATCCAACAAAGATCTTTGGGGTCAGAGTCTTAAGTGGGTTGCCAATCTGTTAGAGCAACTCTACTCCTTTTGTTCTTGACATTTATCAAATTTCTTGTGTTATTTCTACTGCTAGTAAAGAATACCTTTAAAAATACTCTTTTCTTAATTTAGAAGTACATGTATTATTCATCAGGGTTACAGCTAGATGTATATTTAAAAAAAGAGTGCAATAGCCACATGTTATTACATATTTATTTACAGCACTATACAAGTCTTGTTGTGAGCCTGCAAATTTGTTGCCCATTATACAAGTCTGTGTTGCAGTTCAGATTAATCCAATCCACTGCCAATCTCCCAAACATGATGTATAGCTCCAGGATTTTTGTCTCATTCCTCTAAGCTGGTCAAATAACTTCAAGTACCAATCCCACACAATGTCCTCCAGCCCACATGGAGAATAAATACAGCACATTTAAACTTCATCCTCATTAAGAAGCATATTTGGAATTCCATTTTTGATAGGGAACTTTCTCCCTGATTCGGGGCAGACCAGTGTACCTTCTTGAACTTCCACCTGTACCAAAAATAATGTTAGTACATTTTCAAAAATGTTGGTTCGAATTTTCATCTAGTTTTGTTTATTTTTTAGAGTCAGGAATTTATATGCTTATATCCAATGCTTCCACAGAGTCTGGCATGCTAATTATGGTTGGACCTGTATTAAGCAGTCACTGGGAATAGTGGAGCACCTGCTTAATACAGGTTGACCACTTATTAAAGGTTTCCTGGAATAGGGTTAACCATAATAAAAAATCTCCATTTTATGCCATAATTGGTCACTTAATATACAGTTCATTCAACACCTTACTAAAAAATGCATTGACCTCTTGTTAATAAATAGCAACAACAAAATGGTGGCACAGTAAAAAAAAATGAGCAATAACAGCAGAATTACTGTACACAGTATACTGTTATCAAGCAGTTGGACCCCCAAGTCATTATTAACTAGCAAATGACTTGCATGAAGTTCATGCAGAATATTTGTCTCAACAGTCCTAAGAAGAGAAATCATCTGCTTTGCATTGGAGACATTTCAACTCAAAGTAATAACACTGATTTCAGGAGAAAAACATTAAATTAATTTTAGTTAAGAGATTATTCTCAGCTTTATTTGAGTGACTGTTCAAAACAGGTGAATACAACACAAATAGGCTTCTGGGGTTCACACCATGTGACCACTCAATGAAGGTGAAATTACAGAGTTTATGGCAAAAACAGTTTGGGACTATGACAAGTCACCATTTAATACTGGGTGACCAGTTAACACAGGTTAACCTTTATCACGGTACCCAATGTTATCTTTCATAAAAATTCCATACTTGAATATATGTGTGGATATAAAATACAAAAAATATGTACAATCACTTGTAATTTGTTTCAAAACTACATACCTCGAGCAGAACATGATGTGCTTTCTTTAAGAACTCTTCATCTTTTTCATAGTCTGGGATCAATTCATCAGGTAAACCCCCAGACCGTCCAACCTTAAAACGAATGTGAAGAATAGATTAAGTCAGTTATATAGATCTTTTCTTGAGTTCAAACCTTAAACTCTTAAGAGTGACTAGTAAGTATTCGTTTCAGTATTCTCACTTGCTGCGCTGCTTGTACGAGAGCACCCCAGTCCACTTTCGGAATCATTCGAGAGATGAATTCAGGGTTGAAATCCACCTCATTAACAACAACATTCACGACCTGAAGGAAAAAAGGAGAGGATATAACACACTAAAATAAATTTTATAAATGAAAGTAAACGAATTTAAGGCTATTAACACTGTAGATCAAATAAAGCGACTCCAGAATGTATCCACGTGCACGTCAAAGATGTCCATTTTTTGTTTCAATTATTTGACAACTACTTCGTTAAAAGTTAATCAACTACCTCTATAGCCAAAGGATATCCATTCTTTACGCCTTTGACGTGAGATGTAAGCATGTTATGCGTTAAAAGGCGCATTTTTGGTTATTTTATTACGTAAATAAGAGGTTTGCCACAGTTTCTACCGCGGAACACCCGCTGAACTACTCTGTGGGCTCATGCATGCAGATGAGGCTGAAGGAACACCACCGATTTGGGCGCGTATTTCACATGCAGTAGTTTGGCTGTGATGTTCACAACTGAGTAAAGGGGGTAAGTTTCTAAGGAAACCGTGGTGCTGTGTCGGTGAGAGAGCATGACAGGGTAATTTGGTATTATCAACTCAGTTGATATCGTAAATTGGCCACCGTAAAGAGTTTAAAAGCTGACGTTTCGAGCCCTTTGTCATTCACTCTGACGAAAGCTAAACGCTCGAAACGTCAGCTTTCAAACTCTTTATGGTGGCCAATTCACGTTATCAACTCAGTTGATAATACCAAATTACCCTATGATGTTCACACATTCGTGAAGTGACCAGGGTTTTAATTATTATCTAAATTTTTATGCTCCATCGAGGTGTTATTTTTTGTTTCAATCGAACTGCACTTCGTTATGATCAGATATGCAAAAGAAAGGTGCCTCCGGCCAAAAGTGTTTTCGTAAAAGACGCTTCAAACGGCTTACAAGGGCGAAAAACTACCACAAATGCGTCGATTAAAATTTAATTTAACTTTATTGAGATTTTCAAACCAATATGTAATGTAGATATACAATTTTCAGAACTTTATTCATAGCCCTCATAGATTTTGCTCGTTTCGTGTCAACGGTTATTAACCACGATCACATAGTGCGATCTGCCTATGGTTCTGCTTCGATTAAATGAGAAACTCTCCTAAGCAAAACAGCCACAGAGTTACACTTACTTTGGAGAGTGATTTGACAACCATTCTAAAACTGAATAATTACTATCGTTCTCTTAAATCCGTTTTTCCCGGTTATCCATTTTCAAGCAGAGCTCTTTTTGCTGGTATTCACTGTACTCGACTGCTTTTACTAAAAGTTCCCAATAAAGAAAAACGAAAAGAATACCAAATGGCTTAATTGTTAAATCCAACTGGAAGACCGAACTGTAAGAGCTGTCTCAATTGCCTCACATCAGTCACAAAAAAAAAAATCCAAGATTGTCTGTATATTTGCTCAACAAGTGTGCCAATGTCAAAAACGTGTGTTACACACAACAAAAAAGGTGTTTGCTACACAGTGGATCAATTTGCTTAGATAACTGAACTGGGAACTCATAGTCTCATGGTAAAATAGGCCATGAAACAACTACCATGAAAACTGCTGCACTTTAGTACACCCATGCATCCATTGACATCTTTCATCATACCTTTCAAATAGACCTAAAGCGCAGTACAGCTGTAGGCGTGCAACTATCCAATACTACATTCATTTCATTTTGCACTAGACACACATACGCAGCGCGGACCTACTTTTGATGTTGTAAACAAGGCGGTCAAACGACTGCGTATTTGTGAAAGTTTTATTGGCTGTCAGAATCAGGTTGTTTTACATGAGTTACAACAAGCATACAAGCCAGTGAGTCACGGTGTTTTAAAAGCGTATAACTTTTTCGATAAAGCTCCAAACAGAGATGCATATCGACATGATACCTATACTAGAATAAGCATTGTGCTCGTAAAGTCTCGAGTTTTCCTTTTACAGATTTCTAGGAACGTTTCAATTTTGCGAGACAGGGGTTGTTTCTTACGTCTTCCTTTTAAAATTTTGCGCGGAAAATTGGCGCGTGGGCGGCCAGAATTGATCCCCTCTCGCATGCTCGACGTTTAACCGCTGTATTGGTGTTGTATAGGTGTTTGGAACGTGATTAGTTCAAAGTTGTTTCATTTTGCGATTGTAACTCTTGGATTACCATTATAATGTCATTACAGCAACTCTTGGGTTTACTGATAAAGTGGCGACGCGATCATTAAAATTAATCCTTAGAACTGAAATACATCATTCGCGTTACAACTTATGAAAGTGTTCTTAATTAAGCTTATACTCAGACATGTAGTTCATGTCAGGAGCTCATTACCAACGATGGGCTCCTGTTCATGTTAAAAGAACTTTCAAACAGTTGTTTGAGGGGAAATGAGTGCAAAAGAGAGCCACAGCCTCCTCAGACTCGTAGACTCAATTAAGAACGCCAAGTACGTTAGTGGTTAGGAGAACGCATATTATTCGTGTGGTATCCAGATGCTGTGCGATTTCAGGGTTCGGGTCCCATCTTGAACTGAATGACCACTCGCCGCGGTTTCGTGCGAGAGCTTTGATTATCGCTGGCTAAGCGAAGTTCTGCAGGTTAAGTCACACTTAGTAAACTGCTGTAAAACAAAATATAACCTTATTTTAAGTTTGTTCTTCTGTTCGATTTGACCATCGCAACTACACCAAGTCTGTAGTGAGCTGGAAGAACAATCCCTCACCACGAGAATGAGCGAATATTCAGGTTCAATATTCTTATTGAAGTGAGGGATGAAACCAATCCCCGTTATCAGCTTAATTTGAACAACACGTTGCCCCTGAAATTTGACGTAAACTCGCAGTAGCATAGCTTTCCGGGCCCCTCTCGGCCATGGTTTTAATAAGCTGGATTTCAAATGCAACGAAAGATACAGCTTGTCCAAAAAAAAGGCACCCAATTTTTTTTCCACTCCCTCGCCTGAAGTTTATGCGAGACATTGTATTGTGTTTTGAAGTGAAATCCTTGATATTTTATTGATTCAAGTAGTTTCAAAATTGTTTTCATGTATTGTTGTGTTTCGTTTACCTTGAGGATCTAAAATGACCTTGACCGCGTACGTGCTTATCATTTCTTCGATATGGGTGAACATATATTTAGAGATAACACAAGTGGGATTGAGATTCTGAGACAATTTGCTCTTTAAACCAAGATATACAGACTAGTGACACAATTTGTTTTGCCTTGTTCAAAGTTACTCATAAATAGGAGACTGTATTGCTGCTGCATCAAGGACATGTAACTCTATGAGTTACTTCCGTTTCATCTGTCTTAAAACCAGTTCATAGCTAGGCTAAGATTATAGCCCCGTGGAGGTAGGGGAACTTGGGTCAATTTTTGCTGGGTATGTGCCACTGGCCTCTCAGAACCCCGACCATATTATAGTATATTCTGGGGCCAATTTAAAACCCCATCGTAGTCACTTTTTGGCGAATGTAACAGCTTTTTAGCCGTAAATCTTCCCATTTTTAAATCCCTATGCAACCCTATTGTTGTCAATCCAGTCGGGAAAATGCGACCCTATCTAGCGACACATCCCTTATTCTAAAGAGTATCACCCCTCCCCCTTCTTAGATTATAGTTCTAGTGTCTAGTTTCACTCCAAATAAATGACCAAGCAAGGAAGTCCACACCTTCTAAGGATCGTCTTCTTGGTCAATTGAATTATTAACAGAAAGCCTGTAATCTACAAAATTGGTACAACGCAAAGTAAATCAGTGATAATAGTGATGACGAAAATGATGATAATATAATTACTATTATCATTAGCATTATCATTATTATTACTAGGGGTATTTAAATTCAAGAAAGCTCGATGCCCCCTTATTTATAGCCGGATATTTTTTCGAGATATTACGGTTTTTTTTCTATTTAGAAAGTATTTTGAGAATTTCCGGAGAGCTATTCAGACGATCTGAAGCAATTCATGTAGATAGGCTGCTGAGTTGATTCGGTTTTATGGTGGCAATCAGGAAGAGGTCATCTTCGTTTAGATTTCAACTGGATTGCATCTTAGAAAGAGGTGGTAACGATTAACAAGCGATAGAATAACAGCAGTGTCTTTTTTCCTCTTTATATTGGAGCTTGAAAGAGAAGAGATTAAGGTGATAAGAGCCGATTTTTGTGGTCTCCACCAAGAGCCTTCCCGCTGATACTCATTAATGCGTTTACTTTCCCTCCGAGATTGTGGAACCTCAGCTGTAGTAAGAGAAAAAAATGGTCCAAACAAGACGCAGAGAATCGGCCTTGGTCTTCCATCCCGCCTAACAATTTTTACTATCCTGTTAGATCACGCTCTAAGGTTTTGACATAGAAAACGAAAGAGGACTCATAATCCTTTAGCATAATCTATGGCAGGTTTTTGTATGTTTACTGACACAAACCAAGTTACTAAGATCATAAGATATGAAATATTGAGATAATAGCAGCTAGATTTTATCAGTAACCAGTTATGAGTTATGCTGGTGAATAAAATATAAACCTCCAGGGTTTCTATATTTAAAATTAATCATGTAATATTTCGAAATATATTTTACGGTGCTCACAATTACCCTCGAACCACAGGAATCCTTATTATTTCTATTATATGCTTTACCACCCAGAAAGCATCAGAGACAAACTGAACAATTTCCTAAGTAAGATGGAATATTGATATCTACTTATGTTACAAAATACGAAGACAAAATGTTTCGCTTATCAAACTTAAAAGCTTGAATCTTTCTTTTTTTGTCTTTAAGTGCACAAATATTACTCTCAGTATGTAATAAGAAAATCAAAGCAGGAATGTGAACAATAAATTCCAAACTCTTTTTGTAGTCCCACGGGTTTTCCACATAACTGATGAATGAAATAGACAGAAGTGCTCAAAAATTTTTAGTTTGGATGGAAAGGTTTACACGGTTCGATGAAGATGGAAAAATTACACTTTTGTCAGATTCATAACACATAAAATTTTTACAACTTTTATGGTGCTTTCTTGGCTATTCAAAGAAATGAGTGCATTTTCCGTTTTTCTTTTTGTTATCTCATGTATCGATCTTAGATCGAAGAGACTCGTGTAGCATTTCGTGTCCAGCACGATGTTTTCATACTCACTAAATGAGTATATTAGGTTCGATGAGAATATTAGGTTGGATGTCCGTTCTGGGCTTGTTTCAGCAGAATAAGTACCTTATATGTTTTTATTTTTGTACTGAAATTTAGACTAACAATATTCATGCAACTTTTGCGTGGTAGTATTCAGTCACTGTTCCTGCCGTTTACGTACTGGATATAAGACATTTTGTGTCATCTG